GGAAAGATATCAACATGGTAAGGCTGGAGAGATATCAACATGGTAAGGCTGGAAAGATATCAACATGGTAAGGCTGGAGAGATATCAACATGGTAAGGCTGGAAAGATATCAACATGGTAAGGCTGGAAAGATATCAACATGGTAAGGCTGGAAAGATATCAACAAGGTAAGGCTGGAAAGATATCAACAAGGTAAGGCTGGAAAGATATCAACATGGTAAGGCTGAAAGATATCAACATGGTAAGGCTGGAAAGATATCAACATGGTAAGGCTGGAAAGATAGGAACATGGTAAGGCTGGAAAGATATCAACATGGTAAGGCTGGAAAGATATCAACATGGTAAGGCTGGAAAGATATCAACATGGTAAGGCTGAAAGATATCAACATGGTAAGGCTGGAAAGATATCAACATAGTAAGGCTGGAAGATATCAACATGGCAAGGCTGGAAAGATATCAGCATGGTAAGGCTGGAAAGATATCAACATGGTAAGGCTGGAAAGATATCAACAGGGTAAGGCTGGAAAGATATCAACATTGTAAGGCTGGAAGATATCAACATGGTAAGGCTGGAAAGATATCAACATGGTAAGGCTGGAAAGATATCAACAAGGTAAGGCTGGAAAGATATCAACATGGTAAGGCTGGAAAGATATCAACAAGGTAAGGCTGGAAAGATATCAACATGGTAAGGCTGGAAAGATATCAACATGGTAAGGCTGGAAAGATATCAACATGGTAAGGCTGGAAAGATATCAACATGGTAAGGCTGCAAGATAACGATATTTTACCAAAAGGGGAAAAAAAATTAAGCCAAATTTTCCCTCCTTCAAATTCTAATTATTAACGAATCTTCATCAAAAGTTTTCAGACAAAGATGTTGAACTAGAAGGGAAAGTAATTAACTTGTGTTAATTGTCTGGTAACCGGGCCGGTACGCCTCCAAGCCATGGAGGGTTGGTAAGAGCCAGAGTCCTGTTGTTTAGTCAGTTTAAAGAAGTACTGAAGGGTGGGGGAGAGTGGCTTGCTGGTTGGCGGGTCTGGGGCCGCGCGCACGCTAGGAGATAGAGCGGTTAGACACAGGGAAAGCCCGCGAAAAATCAGTTTCCCGCCATTTTCTCTTCTTTCTCTCGCGCGCTTTCTCTCTTTCTTTCTTTCTCTCTCTCTCTCTCTCTCTCTCTCTCTCTCTCTCTCTCTCTCTCTCTCTCTCTCTCTCTCTCTCTCTCTCTCTCTCTCTCTCTCTCTCTCTCTCTCTCTCTCTTTCTCTCTCTCTCTCTCTCTCTCTCTCTCTCTTCTCTCTCTCTCTCTCTCTCTCTCTCTCTCTCTCTCTCTCTCTCTCTCTCTCTCTCTCTCTCTCTCTCTCTCTCTCTCTCTCTCTCTCTCTCTCTCTCTCTCTCTCTCTTTCTCGTTATCCTTCATTAGAAAACCCATGCTAACGAATGTGAGCATAGACTTAGGTTCCACTAATTGTGTCTGAAAGGGGTATGATAGGTAGAATCAGATCATACTTGCGATAGGTAGAATCAGATCATACTTGTGATAAGTACAATCAGATCACTGACACCCGGAATCACCTCAAGGTAGGTTTACGCAAGCAGGTACTGAGATAAACCAGTATGAAAAGCAAGGAAAACTTAAGATAATCCCTCAAGATTAAATGAACAAATCCACAAGGGCCGTGACGGCGGTTCGAACCTTCGGCCGAGAGGTATCTCCCTCAAGATGACTTCTACCCACCTGAACATTCAGTGGGTGAGCCCATGACCTACTGGTTTCGCCCCTTGTGTAACACCGTCGTTAATTCAACCGCCAAGAACCGCAAGAATTCAGGAATTTGTGTTCGACTCGAGAAGTTCGAATCGTTGCTGTGTGAGGTGGAGAAAATTGGTGAGGTAAGAGGTTGTAGGAGATTATGAGGTGTGAGGGGGGGAGGGGGTGTTTATGAGGTGTGAGGGGGGGAGGGGGGTTGAGGGGTTTACGACGTTGTTGTGAGTAAGTCAGGCAAAGATTCTGAGGTTTATAACTGATGTTAATTGGAGACAGGTCGTGAGGTGGGAGTAGATTGTGTGTGTGAGTGCGTGCGTGAGTGCGTGTGTGAGTGCGTGCAGGAGGAAAGCTTGAAGACGGCGAAGAGCAAACACCAACACAAAAGATTAGAAATTGAATTAGAGCCTTGACAGAAGGTGCGTTCAACAGCAATCTCCACGCTCTTGTGGGCGAGTAACCTGATTGCTCCTCTGCTTACAACCGTGTTTGCTGCCGCCGCTAATGTGATTTCCTGTTCTCCAAGCCCTTAACCTTGTGAAATTGCCGGCGTGTGTGTCGCATGAGGAAACGATCGTTCCAGACATTTTTCTCCGCCATCACCCGAGACATCGGAACGATTGTTTGCGTCGTGGAGGTCATAGAGGATCTTTCAGGGCATAGAAATTAGATTGCAATCTTCAGGGACCTTTAGAGGAGGAGAGCAGCAGGAGAACCCGGCTGTTTGTGAGGTCTTAGACGCCTCTTTTGGGGACTGTCTGCCGGCAGCAGACAGTCAGCAGACAGCATGTTGCCTGCTTTGTTTGCTGGTAACAGCTGCAACGGTTGTGGAACAGGTGGATAAGGAGTGGGACGGGTTAATCAGGGAGTTGGGTGGAACAGGTGCAGGGATCCGATTGGAAACCGTGTCGTGGGGCTATTGATCCCCGGAAGCTACACAAGGTAGCCACAGGGGTAGGGCCGAGGAAGGTATATGTAGACTCGTGTAGCGTATATAAACAAGTAAACTCACCAGCACACGAAGGCAGTCTTGTGCTTGAGACACAATGATGTCTTAGTTCCCCAAGCTTGGACGGGGGTAAACTGATCCTTCCAATCTTCTACGCTTTTCTTCTTCCTAATCAAGTTCAAGTTCAAGTATCCTTCTCTGTCTCAACCTCACCCTCCTCCCTCCTCTCTCTCTGTCTCTCTCTCTCCCTGTCCCTCTCCCTCTCCCTCTCTCTCTCTCTCTCTCTCTCTCTCTCTCTCTCTCTCTCTCTCTCTCTCTCTCTCTCTCTCTCTCTCTCTCTCTCTCTCTCTCTCTCTCTCTCTCTCTCTCTTTCCTCCCCCCTCTCTCTCTCTCTCTCTCAGAGTACCAGTTGCACCTCTGCTCTTCAACGGGGGTATTCTGCACATCCTGCCATGCCTTCTGGTCTCATGTGATGCTATTTCAGTGTGCAGGTTTGGGACCAATCCCTCCCACATGCAAAATATTATGCATCTCTCTCGCCTGCGCTCTAGAGAATACAGATTTAGAACTTTTAATCGGCCCCAATCCTCTTCTCTCCTCTCATCTCAGCTCCCTGGTGTACAGCCGAGGGCGCTTCTCTGTCATCTTAGGCGTCAGCGAACAGCGGCTGACCCTAGAGACTTGTGTTATAAATGATATTAGGAAATTGTGAGGCGGAGTTGCTCTGGGCTTGGTGTTTAGAAGGTCCTTCGCCTCCTGTTGGGGGGCTCTGATGTCTTCCCACTCTCCGAGTGAAGGTTGGCTGGTGTAGTGGTGGTGATGGTGGTGATGGTGATGGTGGTAGTGATGGTGGTGGTGTCGACGCTCAAATTCTTTTCCAAACCTGGCCTTAAAGTTGTGGATGGAGGTGGCTTCCACAATATCTCCTTTCAGGGCATTCCTGTTATCATCCGTACAGGGTTTGAGCATTCCCTTAACATTCCTATGGCCCATATGTGTTTCCAACTTCCACCTGCGTCGTCTTGTCCTTCTGTCTTTAAATTTAAAGAGGTGCTCCTCACCTGCTTTACCTATTCACCTCATTATCTTGTATGTTAGGATCATGTCCCCCTCTGTTCCTTCTATCCTCTAGGATTGTGGGATTTAGTTCCACTAATCTATTCGGGAAAGGGGGGGGGATAGGTGAGAGGAAGGGGGCTTATCTCTTGAGGTTATCTTGAGATGATTTCGGGGCTTTTTAGTGTCCCCGCGGCCCGGTCCTCGACCATGCCTCCACCCCCCAGGAAGCAGCCCGTGACAGCTGACTAACTCCCAGGTACCTATTTACTGCTAGGTAACAGGGGCATAGGGTGAAAGAAACTCTGCCCATTGTTGGGGGGGTAGGGAAGGAAGAACGATCAAAGACAATAGAAGGAAAAGATTACTGAATAAACATGTACAATTTTCAAATTATCGAAGACAGGAAAAAAACAAAGGAGCGAAAAGGTAGATAGAGAATGACAGCTAATTGTAGAAGAGGAGAAGGAAGGGAGAACGTAGATAGGGGAGGAGAAGTGGCCAGTGGTGGCCCTCCTCCATAGGGCCATGAGTGGCCCTATGTTTCCTATGAGTGTTCTCCCTCTAGGTTATCTAGGTTCTTAGGTTAGGAGGAGAAGTGGCCAGTGGTGGCCCTCCTCCGTAGGGACACTCATGGCCCTACAGAGAGCCATGAGTGGCCCTATGTTTCCTATGAGTGTTCTCCCTCTAGGTTATCTAGGTTCTTAGGTTAGGAGGAGAAGTGGCCAGTGGTGGCCCTCCTCCATAGGGCCATGAGTGGCCCTATGTTTCCTATGAGTGTTCTCCCTCTAGGTTATCTAGGTTCTTAGGTTAGGAGGAGAAGTGGCCAGTGGTGGCCCTCCTCCATAGGGCCACTCATGGCCCTACAGAGAGCCATGAGTGGCCCTATGTTTCCTATGAGTGTTCTCCCTCTAGGTTATCTAGGTTCTTAGGTTAGGAGGAGAAGTGGCCAATGGTGGCCCTCCTCCATAGGGCCACTCATGGCCTACAGAGAGCCATGAGTGGCCCTATGTTTCCTATGAGTGTTCTCCCTCTAGGTTATCTAGGTTCTTAGGTTAGGAGGAGAAGTGGCCAATGGTGGCCCTCCTCCATAGGGCCACTCATGGCCCTATGGAGGGCCATGAGGGCCACCGTCGCCTCTTGATTGGAAAGTGAGACTTTCAGGAAATAATCACTTAAAGGTAAACAAACAGTTTCTGTTTAACGGAGCAGTTGAAGTGAATGGGGCGAGTTAGACGGTGTAAATGTGGAGGTACGGGTGGCCGGATGGACAGGCCGGGTAGCCGGATGGACAGGCCGGGTGGCCGGATGGACAGGCCGGGTGGCCGGATGGACAGATGGGTGGCCGGATGGACAGGCCGGGTGGCCGGATGGACAGGCCGGGTGGCCGGATGGACAGATGGGTGGCCGGATGGACAGGCCGGGTAGCCGGATGGACAGACGGGTGGCCGGATGGACAGGCCGGGTAGCCGGATGGACAGACGGGTGGCCGGATGGACAGGCCGGGTAGCCGGATGGACAGATGGGTGGCCGGATGGACAGGCCGGGTAGCCGGATGGACAGATGGGTGGCCGGATGGACAGGCCGGGTAGCCGGATGGACAGACGGGTGGCCGGATGGACAGGCGGGTAGCCGGATGGACAGATGGGTGGCCGGATGGACAGGCCGGGTAGCCGGATGGACAGGCCGGGTAGCCGGATGGACAGGCCGGGTAGCCGGATGGACAGGCCGGGTAGCCGGATGGACAGGCCGGGTGGCCGGATGGACAGGCCGGGTAGCCGGATGGACAGGCCGGGTAGCCGGATGGACAGGCCGGGTAGCCGGATGGACAGATGGGTGGCCGGATGGACAGGCCGGGTAGCCGGATGGACAGACGGGTGGCCGGATACCTGGTTGATGGGGTTCTGTGAGTTCTTCTACTCCCCAAGCCCGGCCTCGGGTTCAGGGAGTTCTTCTACTCCCCAAGCCCGGCCTCGAGTTCTGGGAGTTCTTCTACTCCCCAAGCCTGGCCTCGAGTTCTGGGAGTTCTTCTACTCCCCAAGCCCGGCCTCGGGTTCAGGGAGTTCTTCTACTCCCCAAGCCCGGCCTCGAGTTCTAGGAGTTCTTCTACTCCCCAAGCCCGGCCTCGGGTTCTGGGAGTTCTTCTACTCCCCAAGCCCGGCCTCGGGTTCAGGGAGTTCTTCTACTCCCCAAGCCCGGCCTCGAGTTCTAGGAGTTCTTCTACTCCCCAAGCCCGGCCTCGGGTTCAGGGAGTTCTTCTACTCCCCAAGCCCGGCCTCGGGTTCTGGGAGTTCTTCTACTCCCCAAGCCCGGCCTCGAGTTCTGGGAGTTCTTCTACTCCCCAAGCCCGGCCTCGAGTTCTGGGAGTTCTTCTACTCCCCAAGCCCGGCCTCGAGTTCTGGGAGTTCTTCTACTCCCCAAGCCCGGCCTCGGGTTCTGGGAGTTCTTCTACTCCCCAAGCCCGGCCTCGGGTTCAGGGAGTTCTACTCCCCAAGCCCGGCCTCGGGTTCTGGGAGTTCTTCTACTCCCCAAGCCCGGCCTCGGGTTCTGGGAGTTCTTCTACTCCCCAAGCCCGGCCTCGGGTTCTGGGAGTTCTTCTACTCCCCAAGCCCGGCCTCGGGTTCTGGGAGTTCTTCTACTCCCCAAGCTCGGCCTCGGGTTCTGGGAGTTCTTCTACTCCCCAGGCCTGGCCTCGAGTTCTGGGAGTTCTTCTACTCCCCAAGCCCGGCCTCGGGTTCAGGGAGTTCTACTCCCCAAGCCCGGCCTCGGGTTCTGGAAGTTCTTCTACTCCCCAAGCCCGGCCTCGGGTTCTGGGAGTTCTTCTACTCCCCAAGCCCGGCCTCGGGTTCAGGGAGTTCTTCTACTCCCCAAGCCCGGCCTCGAGTTCTGGGAGTTCTTCTACTCCCCAAGCCCGGCCTCGGGTTCTGGGAGTTCTTCTACTCCCCAAGCCCGGCCTCGGGTTCAGGGAGTTCTACTCCCCAAGCCCGGCCTCGGGTTCTGGGAGTTCTTCTACTCCCCAAGCCCGGCCTCGGGTTCTGGGAGTTCTTCTACTCCCCAAGCCCGGCCTCGGGTTCAGGGAGTTCTTCTACTCCCCAAGCCTGGCCTCGGGTTCAGGGAGTTCTTCTACTCCCCAAGCCCGGCCTCGGGTTCAGGGAGTTCTTCTACTCCCCAAGCCCGGCCTCGGGTTCAGGGAGTTCTTCTACTCCCCAAGCCTGGCCTCGGGTTCAGGGAGTTCTTCTACTCCCCAAGCCCGGCCTCGGGTTCTGGGAGTTCTTCTACTCCCCAAGCCCGGCCTCGGGTTCAGGGAGTTCTACTCCCCAAGCCCGGCCTCGGGTTCTGGGAGTTCTTCTACTCCCCAAGCTCGGCCTCGGGTTCTGGGAGTTCTTCTACTCCTCAAGCCCGGCCTCGGGTTCAGGGAGTTCTTCTACTCCCCAAGCCCGGCCTCGGGTTCTGGGAGTTCTTCTACTCCCCAAGCCCGGCCTCGGGTTCTGGGAGTTCTTCTACTCCCCAAGCCTGGCCTCGGGTTCAGGGAGTTCTACTCCCCAAGCCCGGCCTCGGGTTCTGGGAGTTCTTCTACTCCCCAAGCCCGGCCTCGGGTTCTGGGAGTTCTTCTACTCCCCAAGCCCGGCCTCGGGTTCAGGGAGTTCTTCTACTCCCCAAGCCCGGCCTCGGGTTCTGGGAGTTCTTCTACTCCCCAAGCCTGGCCTCGAGTTCTGGGAGTTCTTCTACTCCTCCCGGGCTTGGGGGAGTAGAACAACTCCCAGAACCCCATCAAGTAGTGTTTTATCACATGTTTTACCACTGTGTGTATGTGTTTTTCTAGTGTCTTGTTATACCTTTCACGGCCGCCAGACCCATCAATTCTCAGCTGTGAAAAATACAAATTATATTTTGATGGTCTCGTGTTAAAGATTGTGTGACTTCAGCAGTATCATAATGGAATTGTGATTTATGAGGCAGTGTCTTCGTGGGGCCTTGAGTCCTCTCTCTCTCTCTCTTGCTTTCTTTCGCGCTCTCTTGCTTTCTTTCGCGCGCTATCGCTTTCTTTCGCGCGCTATCGCTTTCTTTCGCGCTCTCTTGCTTTCTTTTGTGCTCTCGCATTCTTTCATGCTCTTTCGCTTTCTCGCTTTCTTTCTCTGTCGCTTTCTCTCACTTTCCCTCTAGCTTTCTCTCTCACTTTCTCGCTTTCTCACTTTCTCTCACTTTCCCTCTAGCTTTCTCTCTCACTTTCTCGCTTTCTCACTTTCACTTTCCCTCTAGCTTTCTCTCTCGCTTTCTCTCACTTTCTCTCACTTTCACTTTCTCTCTTGCTTTCACTTTCTCTCTCACTTTCTCTCTCTTTCCCTCGCTCTCTCACTTTTATTCTTTTGCTCTCACTCACTCACTCTCCTTACCTACCTTGAGGTTACCTTGCGATAATTCCGGGGCTTAGCGTCCCCGCGGCCTGGTCGTCGACCAGGCCTCCTGGTTGCTGGACTGACCAACCAGGCTGTTGGACGCGGCTGCTCGCAGCCTGACGTACGAGTCACAGCCTGGTTGATCAGGTATCCTTTGGAGGTGCTTATCCAGTTCTCTCTTGAACACTGTGAGGGAATACTTAAGGTAATATTTGTAACAAAGTAATGACAAAAACCATATATTATATTTAATATTTAATAATAATAGTATGAAGTTAAGGGTATTTACACAGTGGTATTAATTCAGAATAAAAATAATTAGAAGATCCATAAGAGTTCTAGATTACTAGGGTGTGTGTGTGTGTGTGTGTGTGTGTGTGTGTGTGTGTGTGTGTGTGTGTGTGTGTGTGTGTGTGTGTGTGTGTGTGTGTGTGTGTGTGTGTGTGTGTGGTGTGTGTGTGTGTGTGTGTGTGTGTGGTGTGTGTTACTAGTTGTGTTTTTACGGGGGTTGAGCTTTGCTCTTTCGGCCCGCCTCTCAACTGTCAATCAACTGTTTACTAACTACTTTTTTTTTTTTTTTTTTTTCCCCACACCACACACACAACACACCCCCAGGAAGCAGCCCGTGACAGCTGACTAACTCCCAGGTACCTATTTACTGCTAGGTAACAGGGGCACTTAGGGTGAAAGAAATTTTGCCCATTTGTTTCTGCCTCGTGCGGGAATCGAACCGCGCCACAGAATTACGAGTCCTGCGCGCTATCCACCAGGCTACGAGGCCACACACACACACACATATGTGTGTGTGTGTGTGTGTGTGTGTGTGTGTGTGTGTGTGTGTGTGTGTGTGTGTTTGTGTGTGTGTGTGTGTGTGTGTGTGTACTCACCTAGTTGTACTCACCTAGTTGTACTCACCTAGTTGTGTTTGCGGGGGTTGAGCTCTGGCTCTTTGGTCCCGCCTCTCAACCGTCAATCAACAGGTGACACACACACGTATGTGGGTGTGTGTGGAAACACCCAGGACACAGGTTCGATTCCCCATCACCTCAACATTTTAAAAATTGACCCGAGGAAGCTATTGAAGAAACTGTTGAAGCCTGAAGTAATCAAGACTTGTTAAGAGGTAATGGTCATTAAGAAAGCCATAGACAGTTGATGAAGACGAATGATATTACTTGAGTAATGACATAACTGCCTGAGCTGACTGATGGTAATTACTATCAGTGGGGGTAGTAGGGTAATTAAGTCACCTGAGGTAATTGTCAGGTCTGGACATTGGGGCTAATGGCCTTTACCCCCTCCTAACCCCCCACCCCAGCCTCCGCCGCCCCTCTCTCTGGGGGCGTCTCCCCTCCTAACCCCCACCCCAGCCTCCGCCGCCCCCTCTCTCTGGGGGCGTCTCCCCTCCTAACCCCCCACCCCAGCCTCCGCCGCCCCTCTCTCTGGGGGCGTCTCCCCTCCTAACCCCCCACCCCAGCCTCCGCCGCCCCCTCTCTCTGGGGGCGTCTCCCCTCCTCTCCCTCCTACCGCCACCTCGCGCGCTGGCATGATAGCCTAAAAGGCTTCGCACGTAATAATTAGGTATTGCTGTTTTGGGTGTTGATGATGA